TCCGCATTGCCAGCTGTAAATCAAACCTGTATGTGTTGGAGCCAAATGTTCTCTTAAACTGTGACTTCCAGTAGTAATGGAAAGAATGAGTGTCATGTCTGTCGGGAAGTCTGGAAGTTAGCGTCACTTTCTGGTCGTAAAAACTGATCTGCTAGAACTCACGTGTGTCATATAAAACAGATTATAATCACATTTAAAGGTGCACTTGTAAATAATGGTTTAATAGGAGGAACAGGGACAGTTTGCTCAGCACTAAATCTATACTCACTTGAGATTGTTAGTCTAAAATCCATGTTTAAAGGTCCTATATTACGCAAAATGAAGTCTTGTGAGCTATAAGTTGTGTTAAAATATTGTTACCTCATCAAAAACATACCTGGAGTTTTGTTTTGTTTCATTGACAAATGTTTGAGAAACCCTTTATTATTAGTCTCTCTACATCTCCAAAGCTGAAAATGTGTCATGTAATGGTACTTTTCAAGTTTAACGCAACCTTTTACCTTTAATTTACTAAAGATTGACAATTACTGAGCAGAAATTATTCAAATGATTCTAGTGAAGGAGTATGGAGTTTAAAAGCGCAGTTGAGCACTGCCTGTATTACCACATGTACACAGGATTTGTGTGTTTAACATGTGTGAATGAAAGAAATCACTACTTTAGGTATGTTTTTGATGAGGAAACAACATTATAACATACAGTAGAAAATATAGGCCTTTTTACAGTTAATAGAGCAAACCAGAATCCTCTCAGTCAATGATATGCAGTATTTAGTCAGTTACATCATAGTTCATTATTTTTGCCAAAAATTGAAGTGGTCCATACTTTAAAAAAAAACAGCTGCTCTTAATGTTAATAACTAATTGTGTGGTATCCTCTGTGGTTCTCTCATTTCCATGTTTACAATGAGAGACGGGACAGAAGAGCCTTGCCCTTTAAACAAAACGCTGTTTTGCAACCAGTAACACTGGACTGGTACTGTACTCTAGAGGTTTAAGGACCTAATTTACTCCAGTGATTTGGATAAACATAAATAGCACTTCATGAAAAGAATGAGGGCTAGTTGCTGGAAGAGTGGGACGAGCAGTGATTCATTTTGACGTATTTGGCGCGTAATCTCCATTGTAAAGCGTGATCAAAAATAAGAGGAAGGTTAGGGTGATTCCAAGGGTCATTGACAAACAGAGGCCCAGGAAATAATTCAGTGATATAACCCATGCAGTTGAGAGAATCCAATTTCCAATAATCCAACTATTTTAATTACAATATATCGCAAAACAACACAAAGAAAACTGCAGAAAAACATGACAAATTAAAAATATTACACAGCTACATGAAAACATTATAGTATCAACTGAAGATTTTTTTTTTAGCCAGCACCAATATTTTTCTTGCTGTTGTGTCTGAAAACTAATATATAAATATTTTTAAATTAATGTCAAAGCCCACAAAATGGAAATAATTGTGTAGTTGAGTTCAAAGGTTTTTTTGTATTAAGTAGAGAAGACAACAAGAAAATCAGGTTGCTTTCACGTTGTACAATTTGAGGAGGTGACTTAGCAAGAATTCAAGGATTAAGATCTTTAAAAAAAAAAAAACACAAACTCAAAATGTATGTTCCCTGATATGAAATAATACATATTTGGTGTGCTTTAAAGATGAGCGTGCAAACATACATCCTCCTCTTTGGCTTCATGACACCTCTATTTCCATTACAAATTCTGACAAATTGAAAAAAAAAAAAAATCACCCCACATTTTTATCAGGATCCCAAATTAGACATAACACATAATATAAATAGAAAATGAATAATATAAGTGAAAACACATTTTAGGACCTATTACTGACACTGTGGTGTTACAGGTCTAAAAGGTGTGAGTAATATGGTTTATAATGAACACAAGGGTAAGAGAGAAGCATTTTAGCACGATGTTAGTAAGTGACTTGTTTTTGATATTGTTTCTAACACCTGCAGCAGACGCAGAGAGGCTAATGTAAAGAAAGTCAATTAGCCTGATTCTGGTGGTGAGGCTGGAGCGTGGGCTTACTGGAGCTTAAACTCTGAGTTAATGAGGTTAAATGCTGTTTCTTCACTGACACCGGCTGTTGGTGTGACGCATGACACCAAAATCCATCAGCCTGTTCCTCTGTGTGTAATGTTTCTAGAGAGTTATGATCTCATATTCTACTGCTATGATTACTGTGAGAAGAGTACATTCATATGGTTTAATGTTTCGAGATTACAGGCACACCCAATAGTGAAATAATTAGTTATTCATTTTCATTCACACAAATAATGTTTTCTTTTTGTGACCTACTAATGTTAAAGGTTTCAGTTTAACTTTTTTGGTGAATGGTTCATATTGCTTGCAGTGTTTCTTTCAGTGAGATGCTATTGCTTTGCCTAGAGTGTTCCATTTGGCATTTAACTAAACTAAACCTATGGATACAAGAAAATGACACTACCAGGCTAAGTTAAAGGTCAGATCTATGGAATGGTGCAGTAAGAATGCATGTTTCTGAGTGTATATTACACAAGTCATGTTATAATGTTGTTACCTCATCAAAAAATATCTGAACTTGTGTTTTGTTTCATTCATAAATGTTTGAGTGAACCTTTCTTATTAAGTCTATCTATCACACATGGCTCAAAATGCTCTGTTCCACCTTGTGATGTCATGAAGCAGAAGTTTTCAAGTTAACAGCTATTTTTACCTTTTCTTCAAACTGCCAATTCCAGGGTTGAAAGTATCCAAATGATTCTATAGAGTTTAAAAACACAATGGAGTACTTTCTGTATTAGTGCATGACCGCTAGTGAGTTTTCAGTTTGAGAGAAGGGTTTGTGTGTCGAAACAAAATAAAACCGTGATATGTTTTTGTTGAAACAGCATTATAACATAGATGAGAAACTATAGCATCATATAGCCCCTTTTAATGTCTTATTGTGTAACATTTCAGGTGATCCGGAATGTTACACAGTGTACCTTCAAGTATGACATTGCTTTTTCTACTGCTACCATTGACTGATGCCTTTAATGTCTCCTCTTCAAGAAAGCCATTAAAATGTAGAGCCACTTTAAAGGTGACACTTTTAAATTATTAAGCCGTCTCCTTGTATCTGCTTTGATTATGCAATTATAAGCCCTGTCATATATGTTTAATCTGATCTCTGTATGTTTGAGGACGATGAGAGGGCCACGTAAGCACTCAAGTAATAAGATTGTTGGCCAGAGATTTTAATAACTAATTACATTTGTCAGCAGGTGATCTTTGAAGTGTGTTGCGTAACAGGGCGATGTCAGGGGTCTGATCTGTGTACACCCATCATGAATTATTCTGCTCCTCAAAGACTGCACCAGGCTCAGAGGAAGGCCTGCTCCATGGAAAGAGATACTTGGGAAACAGGAATCCATACCAGGTCCAAGTCCAGACAATGACAAATTCATGGGGGATTTGCAAGTTTTCCACTCAATCCAAATAATGATGTCTCTAAATAAACCAGGGCTGCTTACGTTCAATGACTTAAATTTACAGTAGCATACTTTCCATTAACCAGTCTGTATTAGGACTTCCGTTTAGTCATGTTACAGCTATTAGGTTTTGACTGTTTCTAATGTCGATACGTTTAGTTTCCATATTAAGCTTTTTTTCTGATCTGTGTTATAATGTTGTTTCCTCATCAAAACATACCTGGATTTGTGTTTTACTTCATTCACACACGTTTAACAGACAAACCCTGAATATTTAGGCTGAGTTCTTCTTCTCTCAAGCTGAATACACTCTCTTCCACCTTGTGATGTCATGTAATACAGGAAGCTCGCCCTGTGTTTTAACTCCATGCTAGAATCATTTGAATAATTTTTGGACCTGAAATTCCCAATCTCTACTGTCTGAATAAAAGGTAAAAAGAGCTGTTAAATTGCAAACTACCACTTTGTGACATCACCAGGGAGAACAGAGCATTTTGAACTTTGTAGACAGATTAATAATAAAGGGTTAATCAAACATGTGAATGAAACAAAACACAACTCCAGGTATGTTTGTGAGGAGGTAACAACATTTTAACATGGCTTAAATCTCACAAGAGTCAGTTTTGAGTAATATAGTACCTGTAATGCCAAACTGAAGATTTTAGGCAGAGTAAATAATAATAAATAGCTGGCAGACCCCCACCAGAACATAGTGCATCTAGTCTAGGTTGTCATATCAAACCCAATCGTAATAAAATTGAGGTATATATTAGAAAACTGAACATTTTATTTTAATTTTGGAGTTGCAACATAGGCAGTGTCGGAAGAAAATGTCTCCCATAAGATATACCAGTACAGTTGCATTGCATGTTGTATTTTCTTTAGTGCGAGTAAATTATCCTCAGGCTTGAACCAGACATGCCACCTCTGCTCTGTTAACCCTTTCATTGCCTCTGGTCCAGTCGAACTGTGACTGGTTCCCATGGACACTTTACACACAGTCCAACGTCCTCACTCCATTACTCCTACTCAAACACTACAACAGACTAATGTACTTTGACTTTTTAGGTCCACAAGGGAGGTTGGCTCGGTTTTAATGTTGTGTCATATTTCTAAAGTACATCCTATTTAATTATTATCACATGAAGTTAAAGTGTTAATTTAGGCCTATAATTCATGTTGCATGTTAGTAAATGGGCCTTTACTCATTTTTGTTTAGTTTAATACAACTACTGTAGGCCTAGTTATTAATTATGTTGTCTTTCAGTGCCCTCTGCTGGTTGTTTATAAAAATGCATGGGTTTTCCTCCCTTTCAAACAAGAAATGCAATCAGTTTTGAGTCTTTGGTCAATATATTCTGAGTGATCTACATTATAGTTTAAATATAGGGAATAATACCCCTAAAATAACTAATAATTGTGATTAGAAATGTACTATCTTTTCATAGATCCTTTTACGCAGCGCATCCTTTACGCACGGTGGTGACGCAGTACGCACGGTCAGCTGACTCTGAGTGGTCATGTGGTATTTACAGAGGAGAGGACCCTACAATCTAAGCACAATCCTGGGTCAGAGCACACAAAAACACCTGGGATCGGCTCCATTCTTCTCCCTTTGTCCCACTCTGACTTTTAAGCATGGCCTGGACAAAGTACCAACTGTTTTTAGCCGGGCTTATGCTAACAACCGGCTCCATTAACACTTTATCGGCGAAGTAAGTAACGTTGTTTTTATGTTCCTCAACGTGTTTACAAGTGCCTGCAAGTCATGCCTTTATTGTTAACCTCAATGTGTTTCATTTGTGCTAGTGGCTTTTGTCCAGCGTCAATTTTTTTTAAGTGAATCTACGTCTTCTCAACATGCATTATTGTTTTTTAGGTTATTACAAAATTGTTACACAGACATTTTCAGCAGTGACAATGATATACACTAGCTCCAAGTTCTCACAGACTAGTATCTTTCTTGCAGTTAAGAAAAGAGTCAGATAGGCATTCCACAATAGGAAATAGGATAACAAAAATCATTATATTCTTATCTCAACCCAAATATTCTGAAGATCCCAGTCAATGCCTTTGATGTTTTGAGAAATAGTTTTCATTTCATAAATTTTACATAAGTAGTTAAACGTGAGACAACTTTTACTTTTGCTTTTCATTAGGACACAACTATTCACCATTGTTATTGTATTTTGTTTGCATATCCTGGCCGCACCTATAACAGTTCTTCATATTCTGCCAGATATGGTCTAAAATATTAAATCCTTCCATAGTCAACTAGCAAAGGCAATTATTACATTGCGCGCCATCACTTCTAACATATTTAATTTTAGCCTTTCATCCTGGTAGATGCGTTGTCGAAGCTGTGAAATCAGACATTCAGCTGTTTAACTTCTGCAATAAGCTTAGATTTAGACATAGAGAAATTGCTTGGACACAGCAGATAACACATCACATTATATTACACACATTAACAAAGAGTAAAACTATAAAACATGGTAATAATAACTTTTAAATAAGTAGCAATAAAAATAGCAGAGACTGGTGTCAAATAAGGCATAATACATCAGAGTTTCATTGGAAAGTGTAGTTTGTGTAGTCATACTGAAAGTTCAAATGACCTAAAAATGCAACATGCTATCGTGAGTCACAGAGTACGAGTTGTGTCATGTCTCTCAATACAAAATCAGGTTAGGTTTCCCATTGGCTGGTCACTTAAATCCACTTGTGCGTTGTATAAGTCTACTTGAGTTTCCTGAGTGATTTTAAAGCTGATTCATCACTTTTAAATGCACATTTCCTTATACAGCATTTTGAGTCAGACAGGCTCACATGACCACTGTCTATAAAAGACAAAAGAATTATGCAGTGATAAGCACTTCAGTAAAAATGATGTCGCTGTACAATATCATATTTAGAATTTGCAGAATTTTGTGCTTTTGTAATCAATTCCCCTTTTTTTCCGTATTGTATATATGTTATTACAATCATTAATACAAAAGAAAATGAAATCATTTTTGTATATTTGCTTTTGGACACTAGTTTAGTATACTTTTATCCATTACAATTTATCACAAAAAGGTTAACAGCGAAATTTTCTATCATGTTTTTTTCAGGTGGGCAGACATGTTCAAAGCAAAAGGTTGTGGAGACAATGCTGAAGAACACAATTTTTCACATCCATTTTTACAGGTATTGCATTAAAAACATGATTCCTCATTCTGTTTGGGGATTAAGATGGTGGTGGCTTGTCAGGCTTGAGCACATGACAGGAATTATCTTTTATGATTCTCATGATTCTGATATCACTCTCTCAATGATTATGATGGTGGCATTGAAAAAATAATAATAATAATAAGTAAAAATGAATAAATATAAAAAATAAGTAAAATAGTGCTGCTGGATTATGGAAAAAAGTAATAAAAATCATAATCCTGATTGTAATTGAAATAACAGTGATTTCAAAGAATTTCTTACACATGCTGTCAATATTAAATATTATATTAAATATTAAATATATAAATTATGAATCTAAAATATTTTGTGATTAATGTGTTTTGACAGTTTTGTTTTAATAGCTACCTTATTTTTTTGTTCTGGCAAGAATTATTATTATTATTATAACCTCCACTTTTCCTTGTCTTGTGTCTTGTTTAGGCAGTGGGCATGTTTCTGGGAGAGTATTGCTGTCTGGCAGCGTTCTACCTGCTCCTGTGTTACGACCGACGCAGACCTGTCCGTCAAATGAACCCAGGCCCGAGCTTCAACCCTTTGCTTTTCTTCCCTCCAGCCATGTGTGATATGACTGCTACGTCCATCATGTATGTGGGTGAGTGAAACGTTACAATGACAATACCAAGCAAAGTTCACAACAAGTAATGGAGAAAAGACTGAACATTGTTTATTTATTTATTTTTATTTCAGGGACAGTGCATATTGCATTTTAAGTTGTGACATAATTACACAGCATAAGTCCACCAACATTTTGTCTCTATGAATGCACGTTATTGCTTTGTGTATAGCTAAACAACATGGAAAAACATATCATACAAATGCCATACTTTGGAACCCAAAGTAATAGTATTTCAATAAGGACAAGCAGCTGGAAAATGTATATTTTACACTTTTAAGTTAAATTTCCTAAACTTTTGCACACATAAGCAATGAACTGTTTTATTTTCAACCAAAAGTCTCCATGCCCACAGTGTACATTTTATAAAACCTTCAAACAGGCTTGTTTACATAAAATTGGGGGCCCAGGGCAAGAAGACTCACATGGGCACCGCTCTAATATTAATTAATAGGCAGAGGCAACAGACCCCTCCCGTCGACTTCCCTGCCTTTAAATAATGGACTACTTATTATCTTTCAGCTCTGAACATGACAAGTGCATCCAGTTTCCAAATGCTCCGGGGAGCTGTGATCATCTTCACCGGGCTGCTGTCAGTGGCGTTTTTGGGCAGGAAGTTGGCTTTGAGTCAGTGGTTGGGGATCCTAATAACCATATTAGGCCTAATCGTCGTGGGGCTTGCTGATTTTGTCACTGGCAACAGGGATGACTCACACAAACTCAGCGACATCATCACGGGTGAAGAATAATTGTCATTTAATAATTGCTTGCATGAAAAATATGAATGAAAAATATTAATTGTAACCTGTCATTCTTTGTTTTCACTTCTGTGTTTTGAGTAGGTGACCTCCTGATTATCATGGCTCAAATTATAGCTGCTGTTCAAATGGTTTTGGAAGAAAAATTTGTCTACAAACATGATGTACACCCACTGAAAGCTGTGGGCACTGAAGGTATGATCTCATTTTCATTTTTCATTTCTACTTTGCATACACTGTGAATATGATTTGCATATACTGAGCATGTAAATGTGTATAGCATTCTTCCTAATATTCTCTTTGTATATTTCAGGGATGTTTGGCTTCTTTGTGCTGACTATTCTGCTCATTCCCATGTATTTCATTCCTGTTGGGAGCTTTTCAGACAACCCACGTCAAGTTTTGGAAGACGCTATTGACGCCTTCTGCCAAATTGGACACAAGCCCCTCATCATCTTAGCTCTGCTCGGAAACACAGTTAGCATAGCTTTCTTCAACTTTGCGGGCATTAGTGTCACCAAAGAAATAAGTGCCACTACAAGAATGGTCTTAGACAGCCTCCGTACTTTGGTCATTTGGGTGGTTAGCTTAGCACTGGGGTGGGAGCATTTCCATGGACTACAGGTGCTAGGTTTTCTAGTGCTTCTTCTGGGCACTGCTTTGTACAATGGACTCCACCGACCCATAATGGCCAGAATACCGTGTTGTGCCTCACTGGCTGGAGAAGAGGAGCAAAGTAATGAAGAAGAAAGGGAAAGGCTGCTAAATGGAGATATAAGGGATCAGAGCTAAGCTTTTATCAGTGAACTCTTATAGTATTTTTTACAACTGCCTCCACAGAGGTGACGCAATGCCAATGTTATCTTATATTAGTCATTAATAATTTAGATTTTTAAACGTTTTAATTTGGGGGTTTTAAGATTGCATGCTGCATTATCTTTTGTTATTTTTGTAAACTATTCAAAACACTTATAAGGGCATTAAGGCAAAGTTCACACATGTAAATAATTCATTGTAAAACAGTAAGACAACTCATCAAAGCACCAATTTACAATCAAGTCCAAAAATGCACCCACTACTAAAACAATCAAAGAATTTTTGTTGAATAAAAAAAAAAAAGTAATTTAAAAAAAAATTTACAGACTTATTATAATATTTTTTTACGGTTTTACTAACTGCGAGCCTGTAGCATGTGGAACTTTTAACTACAATGTCCAAAGCCAAATAACTGACAAGAGCCTAACATCGAGTTAAATGAATCTTGTTTCAGGGCATTCAATTTGAGCCAGACCATATGTAATGTGTGGTTTTAGACAGTACCAGTGCTCCTAACTTACTTAATTGCATAATTTCTCAATTGCCCATGTACAACAACTGTGTACTCAAGCCATACTAGGTATGGTGGAAAAATCATAATTACATAGACCCTGTTACTGCATACAAAGTAATATATAAAATGGTCATGTATATTGTTTCACTTTTAATTGTTTTTGCCAGTTTAAATTTTGTACAATTGATGTGCACTATCTGCCAATTCACTGCCACAGACTGGTTTCTGTGTTCTGTAAATTGTTAAAATTGTATCTCTGTACATGCTGTTGTATGAGACTTTGTATGTACATAAGTTAATGGTACTTCTCAAAAAGGGAACTGGGATTAAATACTTCCACACATGACATGTCTAGTGTTGAGTCTTTTGTTCAGCAGAATGAGAGACCTTTATTTTGTACTCTTAGAGCCTCCAGACCTTTTTCCATTTGTTTGTTAAATGTAATATTCTGAAATTACTATATTTTGCTCTCAGTGATGTTCTTTGATAATCTTCATAATGTCTCCCTCCAGTGGAGACTTTGGGTAACACTATCCAATCAGACGCTGCCTCCTGGGTCAGATGACCAAAACACGGAAGTGGCGACGAACGTGGAATGTCAGCGTGCAGAATCTCCAAATAGCGACTTAAAAAACAAATTAAAGATGCATCTAATTCCAGTTGTGTTGTGGATTTGACATTTTATCCCATTCTTGTAACGACCCTGCTTTTCTGGTAAAGTGACCATGTGATCTTGTCTTTTGGTCCTCAGCCTTTTCCAAATCTTTACGTTATTCGTCAATGTTCCACTAATTTTGTGAAATGATCTTTACATATTAAGCTATTGGGTTTAGTGTGTATCCTTTATGTGAGTGGGTTATACGTTGATATATTTTATAGCAGCCTTCCGCTATGATATCTTCTTTTTTCCAGACCTTGAATTCACATTCCCAATGTCAAATATATAGTTTATTGACCTTTATTGATTTAGATGTAGACTCTCTGAACTTTTTGATATTATGAACATTTGATTTTGAGGACTTTAGACATTTCAACTCAATAAATGTATTGTTTAAAATTGCCCATTATTTTGTCATTGGTGCTAATCTTTCATCTTTCATCTGTAATATCTGAATTTACCTACTCTCTCCTGTCCTTGTCATTCACTTTTTGCAGCCTGTCTTTGTGAAGATGGCAAAGGTTTTCCGGAGTCCAGCACGTCATGGTTATGCTGTGGAAGTCTCTCCATTCATCCCAAACAGAGTTTCCTGTGCTGCCTCCCAGTATTATGGAATAGCCGGTCAGTATCTATTTGCAGCAAACCAAATACTGTATCACAAGAAATACAAGGGGAGTAACATCTGTGAATATGCTGTCAGGTTGTGGCACACTGTTGGTCTTGGAGAATAACCCAACAGGGATTTCACTAGTACAAAGGTAATTCCCAACACATTTTTGATCCATTCAGTTATTAGTTTTAGGCACAATTTACTTTGACACATGTTATGTAAGATGAAGTTTGAAGTTTTGTTATAAAGGATGAAATCTGGTTTTGTTCAAGATATTTTCTATAAACAGATAAATTTTCTTTCAACATGGTTTTCATATAATTTCAATATAACTATTTGTCCTCGAGGGGCAATTTAAGCAGAATCACAATATTTATTAATGACCATAAAAACAATTTGGTGGAACACTAAGCAGTCGAAATACAATAATAATAGTAAATGGAAAAAACAAGGGTCTCAGTGCAGCTGTCTGTCTGTCTGGTCATGTAGGGTCAGAAAGAAACAGCAGGCTAGCCCAAACATTTTTTGTCATGTTTTGAATACTGTTAACTTGAAACTGTTTCACACATTTTTAAACAATTTGCTTTTTTTTATTCTTTGGTCCATGTCCGCAGTTGGGAGTGGAGTGATGGTTTGTTCGATGTGTCCTGGAGTGAGTCTAATGAACATGTTTTAGTGGCTGGAGGTGGAGATGGAAGTTTACAGCTCTGGGATTCGACCAATCACAGTGCTCCGCTCAGGGTGGCCAAAGAACACACACAGGAGGTATGCCCATATTTGGAAAATCAGTTTTGTTTTTAATACAGTGGGTGATCTTGAGTATTTTAAAGGTTCACTAGGTTCACCTTTATGTTGAAGGTCTGCCACCTGCTTTTTTCTATGGTTACAGCTCTGCCTGGAATGTTCCCCAGTATGGCATTAAACATCTCTACCTTAATTTTTTTTTTTATTACATCTGGTTATATAGCTCAAAAATACATTGAAAAACAGACATTCTGTCTGTGCGCGGGGTTGCCTCTCCACTTATAACTTGGTCTGGTTTGGTCTCCATGAAGACACAAAGGTTTAATACCATAGTGTGAAACATTCCAGAAAAAAGCAGTAACATTTCCATGGGGGAAAAGCATTTGACGGATCCTCCACCATAAAAGTTACACAATGTACCTTTAAAGATATTATGAACTGCTTGTTAACATAAGTGGAGACACAAAAACACAGAGGTACTGTTAAGTAATGGTATTGTCTCCATGAAAGTAGCCTTAAAGTATCAATTACACATCTTAGCACAACACTGTCATTAAAAAGCCTCAATACGTTTCTCAGTGCAAGTATTTGCATTTGTAGTCAAATAAGTTCAGTAATAGAGCTGTTAATATTGCAGGTGTACGCTGTGGACTGGAGTCAGACCAGAGGAGAAAACCTTATAGTTTCTGCGTCTTGGGACCAAACAGCTAAAGTGGTTAGTTCACAGTTAATATCCAATACTTTTTAATTCATGTTTTTATCATATATTAACATTTGACAATCTTTGCTTTTCAGTGGGACCCTGGTCTTACATGTTTGTCTACTCTCCGAGGTCACGAAGGGGTCATCTACAGCGCCATCTGGTCACCGCATATCCCAGGATGCTTTGCAACTGCCTCAGGTATGTTTTTAATCAACTAGACTATGTGTACAATTTTCAGTATTTTATGAATTAGTTGAACTACACTTTGTCTTTGCGTTGTCTGGCCACAGGAGGGCGGTGTTGACTGTCTAAGACTTGTTTGATTGATTTGTTGTTACGATGGTCTTACACATTTTAGACTTCCTTCATAATTTAAATGCAAATTTTATAGAACTAGACAAAACCCAGGATTGGCCCCTTCCGGAAAGGACTAAAGCAGGTCTAAATTAAAACATATCTCTTACTAAATGTTGATAAAACAGGACAAAATCACAATTGAACTTAGAGTTAGATTTAAACGAACTTTATTGGTCCATAAGGGAGATTACGTACTTGGAAATGGTAATAATACATTCTAAGTAAGTAGCAAAATTAGCAAGAGACTTGGTCAAATACCTGGCACTAAACAAAGTAAGTTAAACTATTCCAAACTGTAATTGGCCAAATGATTATTGATATGAATGACAAGTATACCTCTACAAAGCCCTGTAGGAGGACCAGTTGCAGAGTTTGAGAGCCGCTCATGTAAATTCTGTATGACTGTGAACAGCAAGCCTCTAATAGAGCAGATGCACTGTATGCAGCCAATAGATAACCATTTATTTAGCCCTATCAGATGTGGTATACTGAGGACAGTTGATGTAAAGTGTTGCTCTAGGCTACACTAGAGCTCACTGAATCTAATCCAGTGCTGTATAATTATGGTTTATCCTGCTGCATGACTGCTATCTATTATTTAACCAGAACCAGCTCTGGACACAGGCAAACACAATGAGATCAACAAAGAGGTGTGTGTCTGTATTAGAGCCTTGTTTGTACAGCACAGAGTAGTAGACCATGTTATAAGAAAAAAACAAAGGTGAGAAAGAACTGTGTGAAGTTTGTGGACATATTCCTAAAATATAGTGGATGCATGTCAAGTTATACAAAATTTTCCTACAATTTTGTCTTGTTGCCTGGGTTTTGCGCCTCCAGATGAGAAGGTGTCTGCAACTCAGCTTTAGAAAACAATTACGTTTCTATAGTAATTAATACAATTTATTTAAATACAGCAACCTCACTCTACACCATTTTTTTCATTTCTTTGAGTTATGAATTATCATTGGTGGCACCTTGAATATTTTATTCTGCCGGTGGTACCCTTTTTAAACTGAAACCAAGAAATATAAGTTTTAATGTCTATAAATGAGGAATTGGATAGTTCGAGAAAGTCCAACTGCCTAAACCGACTAACTTTGACTTCTCTTGACAGCTCTGGTAATATTAATCCTAATTATATAGACATTTGGTTGTGTGGGTAACAGCTCCGTATAGTGCGTGTGTATAATTGATCTATGTAGCCACTATCATCTCGTGCTGCTAAATTGAAGCCCTGACCACAGAGACTGATTTGTGTGTTAATCTGATGAGATATTTCCGTTCTTCTCAAACCAATTAAACCAAAGTGGTTAGTGAAGCGCAGCTGCTCCTCCGTCAGCTCTGAGCAAGCATCAGGAACTTATCAACCCTCCCAAACAGGCACACCCAAAATCATCTTCATACACACCAATTATCTATAGACTTCCCATCAGCGCAAGCAAATCCGCAAATGGAAAACCCACTGCTTTGGGGAACAAAACACCTTTAGTCTCATTACAGGGTAGAAAATGAAAAGGTGTGAACTTTAATTTGGTTTTAGTAATTACTAAGTCTGACCCTGCTCTGCATTTTTGGGATTTCAACAAAACTGTGCACATGGCAATATAATGAAATAGTTAGGTTAGGTCAGTTTATTTGCCATTTGCAGTTAAGACCACGTTGGAAAAACATGTGCAAAAAGCTCAAAGTGCACCATGAGGCATTAAAACAACCACCCGAAAAAACAATAGAAAATCATTATAGCTGACATATGACATATTTCTCAGTTTTCCGATCTATTTTATAATCTATGTTTCCTCATCAAAAACCTGGATTTTTTTTTTTTTTTTTTTTTTTTTTTTAACATGCAAATCCTGAGTTTTTCTCTCAAACTATAAACACTGCTTGTGATGTCATGTGGTAAGACAGGAAGTTCTCCTCTGTGTTTTTAAACTCCCAAAACCTTCAGTAGATTCATTCGCATAATTTCATCTCAGGAATTGCCAATCTCTACTGAACTAAAAGTAAAAGGTAGCTGTTAATTTGAAAACCGCTTAATGACATCACAAGGTGGAGCAAAGCATTTTAAGATTTGGAAATGTATTCAGACTAATAATAAATGGTTACTCAAGCACTTATGAATGAAACAAAACACAACTCCAGGTATGTGTTTGATGAGGTAACAACATTCTAACATGGCTAAAAGCTCCCAAGAGTACATTTTGCACAACATGGGACATATAACATATTTTTTTTCAGTTGTATTCAGTTTCTAGTAAGAAAAACAAACAAACAAAAAAAACTTAACTACAGACCTATTGTTGCCTGTGAGAATAAAAATAATATATATATTGAAGATGAAGCATTTGTGGCATTAAAAATATACTTTTTCTTATCGTGATGTGTTTGAGGTGGTCCTTGACGGTAATCGTTTATTGATCGTAGTTTCTTTATTACGTTTCTATCCAGCAGCAGAATCGTCTTCTCTCTGTCAAAGATCCCCTGCAGTGGCTCATCTCAGACTCGTGGACCACTTCTGATCAAACATCACATCAGTGTAAATACTTTTTTTCTGTGCACACTTTTTGAATGAGATGCTTCATTCTAAATATACAAAACGTTTTTTCTTTGACGTGCACTTAAAGGTTGTATAGAGGATATTTTAAGGGAAGAGAAATACAGTGACAGTCCTTTTTCAAATGTTGTGCATGTGTTGACACCACCTTCCTCCTCCACCACTCTCTCAGTAGAAACATCTCCTCCCGCCTCCTTACTCTAGAAATCACGCTTGTTTACAGCCAGAATTACAGTTGAAGTGACCTGTCTAGAAGTAATTTAGTGACAGACACGTCAGTTTTTAGACCCTTCGTCTGCTTCAGTCTTGCCATCGCTGGAAGGAATCTCCAAGAATCACCTCAGTTTGGCTTTGCTCCTTTTCCCCTTCTCTTCTTCTTTCAGCGACCTCAAAACTGACTTTCTTTGGCGGCGAACTGGTCATGGATTCTCGTCTGCCATCGCAACAAACTTTGTGCAAATTGCGAGGAAGCTACAGTTCGAAAAGCCTCTAAGAACCGCTTCATAAACCACATAATCCCTGCACGCCGGCGAGTCAGTTACAACAGAAACATAGGGAGTATGATTGACAACCTAACAGCCAATAGATAATGAGGGAGCCTTGTTCTCTATTGGCTGATGTTTATTTGGCCTCACTATGTTTACAGTTGATAGATTTTCATTATTATTATTTTTTGGTCATCATAATTACAAAGTTGCTGCATCTCTGTAATGGTATTTTAAACTTTCACTGACATTTGAAACAAAAAAAAGAAAAAATCCTCCATACAACCTTTAATCCCACAGTCCCAATTACATAGAAACACATCTGTGGTGAAGAACACACAAAAATGCTTTATGAGACTGAACATTAGCTAAGGTTCGTTGGTTACGTCAACTCTCAACTGAGTGTTTGTTGAGACTCACTTGTGCTCTGTGATCTTTTTCTGTCAGCCCAAACCTGGCACACTGTCAGACTGTAGTAATGTAGATAGTGTCTAGTGGTGATACTGTAAGTGAGAATTCAACACGGCCGGGTCAACCAATCATTACAGATTACAGATAATATTTTAAGGAATGAGATGAAGATGAAGACATAAAAGTTACAAAAGAAGGCAGTTTTCTATTTCTGTCCATACACAGTCATTCATTGACCTTATCTTAATAATTCCACACTGGTCTGTGCTTGAGGCAACAGTGGTTTTATTCACAGCTTTTAGCCAAAATCTCCTTGGCTTTAATGTATTGTTTGTTGCAGTGAAATGGAACAAAGCTTAATTACTTGGCAACGTTTTCGAGACAAATTTTAGTGTCCTGCTGGTGTTTGCCCACATCTCTTAAAAGTTTTAAACTCATAACAATGTTGGAGATAATATGGGTTGTCTATTGATTGGTTCTTTACTTCCATTTTACGTGGTCATAGAGTTAAAAGTGACCGGGTCTGCAACAGTGCAATTTTGAATATCCATTGCCCAATATTGACCCTGGATGACCTTTGACCTGTCTACAGCCAATCACAGGTAGTTACACAGTCTCCTTGGAGCAGTGAAAGTCAGTGGAGTTATTTTGTACTGGGGGGTCTTGTGTATGACAGATGAGCGATTGTTTTGCGGCTGTAAATCCCACTGGTACTCAGGACTTGGACTGGTCTCACTGGTCTGGACTAGAGAGGTCTGTATTTGAACATTGACCTAGAACTGGTTTGTAATTTGTTTTTTGTTTGATTTCTCAGAGGATCTTACCTGTGTGAACCTGGTGTGATAGAGGAATTAAGAAAGGGAATGAAATCTCAGTACAACCATGAAGTAAAGGTCTAAGATAAATGCTCCAACTCCTTCAGCATTGGTCTTGTACAGTTCTGTGATACACGTTTTCATTTTACTGAGACTTTAAGGAAGAAAAAGAGCAACATTTGGCTTTTTGACGTAACAACCAGCATTACACATTAAAATAATAATCTGTGCATTTCTGTTGTTTGAAAAAGCTTATCAATGTATTTAAAATTGTAGGCCATACATTATGTAATCTTTAGTGGACTATTGGAATTATAGTGTATTTTGATATAAAAAGGGTGCTAAACTCCAACTATCTGGCATTGACATATGAATCTTATGTAGCTAGAACATAAGTATGAGTGAACATAGGAGAATCCCTCTTATCTCAGTGCACAACGGCATCCCCGCTGGTCACGTTCAGAATTAGCTCCATTAGCGTGATTAGCTACATTAGCATGAGGAGCTATGACCACTTTGAAGCTGTGGAGGCAGAGGTTTTATTGCCTCCATGGATGATAAGCTTATCGGGGTTCC